ATCCATTTTGCTGGTAAAATAACTGGCTGTTTTACTCTTAAGGTTGATAGATACAAGGATCTAACTTCTTAAAAAAGTTTTTAACATTTTAATTCATTTTTGAAAGAGACGGAGCATGAGCGGAGGGAGAGCAGAGGAACAAAAGGAGACAGAGAATCTGAAGCAGGTTGCAAGTTCTGAGCTGTTAACACAGAGCTTGATGGAGGCATTGATGTGGGGCTCGAACTCACCAACCACAAGATCAATGACCTGAGCCAAAGTCGGACACTTAACTGACTGAGCCACCCAGGCACCCCATAAGGATCTAACTTTTTAATTTATTTGCCTACAATGATAGCTAAATATTTCAAAACTATGTATTGAAAAGTCAATCTCTTTCTCATCTACCATTTTTTAGAAGCTTTACTGAGGTATGATCGATATACAACAAACTTATTAAAAATATACAATTGGATACATTTTGACATATGTGTAGACACACAAAACCATCACCACAACCAAGATAGTGAACTACTCTTATTTCTTAATATCTTCAATTTTATTTATCTTTTGTGTAAACACATTCACAGAGTTGAAAATTTAAGGACATAAAATGTTTTACTGTAAAAGGTTTCATTACTCACACCTAACCCAAGCCTTGATCGCTCATTTCACTCTCTAGAGGTAATCAATGTCTTCAGTTTCTTTTGTATCTTTATAGAGATATTTATTTATATATATATATATTATTTTTTAAAATTTAACTTATTTTTTAAGTAAACTCTACAAACCTCCTACACTAATTATTTTAGAATATTCTCTCACACCAACATAAATATGAGAAAGAAATTATAAAGATAAATTTCTCCATTGATTTTGGGGTTTTTTTCCTTCATTGAAATGATTTAGAAATAATCTTTAATATAATCTCACGGATAATTCTTAATTCAAACTTCAGCGGTTTTCAGTAGCAATTTCAACACCAAGTTTAACTTTTTCCAGTGGTACTTGTTTCAGGACAGCATCATCTAGCTTTCTTGGCAGCTGTCACACAGTTTGGGCCCCATCTGACTCTCTCACCTCAAATTAACTAACCCCAAAATGGTGCCAACCTGCCTGCATAGTTCCCTCTCCATCGTGTCTGTCTGACTTTCTTTCTTTCTTTCTTTCTTTCTTTCTTTCTTTCTTTCTTTCTTTCTTTCTTTCTTTCTTACAATAGTTAATTTTATTTGTTCAAGGGCTTATATTGCAAGCCCTAAACCAAGCATGGACTTCAATTCTGTGAGCTCAGATTCACATATTCAGGAGGATAAAAGCAAACTGTGTTCCATGTATATGGATGAAAAACTAAAGGCTCATGGTTAATCACTTTGTAGTTTTAAATTTCTACAGCTTAGAAGCCAGAAGTCACAGGTCTTTTAGGTCTTTCTGGATGTCCCACAAAATATTTGCACTTTTCTTGAGCTGAGCAACCTCATCAACCTTCAGCTTCTGGTTGATAACACTGGTTATTCCCCCAGCATTCAGGATGCATGAAAGGCTCAGGAAGACTTCCTTCTCAATGCCATATATTCCTTTCACCATTGTTGACACTGGATGGATCCTGGATAGATTTTTGAACATAGATTCAATGAGATCAGCCACACTTAATCCAGTATAACTGGATGACTTCATAGGCACTTTCAACCACAATCTTATGCAGTTCCTTCCAATTTCACTGTCATTGTCTTTTCCCATTTCTGGATTCAGTTCCTGGAGAGAAACGCCTGCCACATTCACTCCAATCCACATAGCCATACTTGAGTCACCATGTTCTCCCAAAATACATCCATGGCAGCTGCTGGGACCAATGCCAAGTTTTTCAGCCATAAGATAGTGAAATCTAGCAGAACCCAGATTACATCCACTTCCAACCACACCATGCTTGGGTAGACCACTTAGCTTCCAGGTAACATATGTAAAAATATCCACTGGGTTGGAGACCACAATTATGATACAGTCAGGACTGTACTTGACTATTTGAGAAATAATGAATTTGAAGACATTAACATTCCTCTGCACCAGGTTGAACCAGCTCCCTCCCTCCTGCTGGCAGACTCCTGCGGTTACCACCACAATCTTAGAATTGGCGGTCATGGAGCAATTTTTATCTGCCACAATTTTACGTGTCTGAAGAAATAAGCTCCCATTTTGCAGATCCATCATTTCTCCTTCAAGTTTGTCTTCCCAAGCACCCACAAGGGCAAGTTCATCAGCCAGAGACTTTCCCAGAATGCTGATGGCACATGCCATACCAACTTGTCCAACACCTACTACAGTGATCTTATTGTTTGGGACAGTTGCCTCTTCTCCTGCGACTGGTGCAGTCAGTTTCTCCTTAAGAGTTGCCATTGTGCCCAGAGGGAAACGGCTGTAAGAGTCATGTGAAGAAGATGATGTCAGCTGCGTGCCTCTCCTTCCACACAGGATCTCCATCATGTGTTTTCTTTTGTTTGATGGTGTCTATGGGATTATTGCTGTGGACCCTAAAACTGGGAGAGGCAGACTGGTACCTTTTATGGTTTGCTGAACTCAAAGCTGGAATTATCCAGGACCATTCATCTACATCTGTTCTACAACCCCATGAGATCTGGCTGCATTAAAACTGACCAGTCATTTGGATGGAACATGTCTCTTCAAGGATCACCGAGCTCCTCCTAATCCACATGTTCCTCTAGGGGGTAGATTCCCCCATAGCCTTACAACTCTTGTGCCCCATCCTGTGGAATTCCAGGGCAGGGGCTTTCTTCCCAAACATATGTTCTGAAACAAAATAGTGCTTACTTTTATTTGTTTATTTTATTTTATTTATTTATTTATTTTTTTTTACAAATAGTTTATTGTCAAATTAGTTTCCACATAACACTCAGTGCTCATCCCCACAAGTGTCCTCCTCCATGCCCATCCCCCCTCCCCCCCACATCCATCAGTCCTCGGTTTTTGTCAGCATTCAAGAGTCTCTCATGGGTTGCCTCTCTCCCTTTCCCCCACCATTTCCGCCCTTCTTCTCCCGGTTGGTCCTCCGTCAAGTTCCTCCTAATCCTCCTATACGTGCACACATATGATATTTGTCCTTCTCTGCCTGACTTCTTTCGCTCAGCATAACACCCTCAAGGTCCATCCATGTTGCTACACATGGCCAGATTTCATTCTTTCTCGTTGCCATGTAGTATTCCATGGTATAGATAAACCACATCTTCTTGATCCATTTGTCCATTGATGGACACTTAGGCTCTTTCCATGTTTTGGCTATTGTGGAGAGTGCTGCTGTGAACATTGAGGTACATGTGCTCCTATGCATCAGCATTTCTGTATCCCTTGGGTAAATTCCTAGCAGTGCTATTGCTGGGTCCTAGGGGAGTTCTAGTGTTAGTTTCCTGAGGAACCTCCACACTGTTTTCCAGAGGGGCTGTACCAGTAAATAGTGCTTACTTTTAAATCTCTGTCTTAATATGGTAGGTGCCCATAGGAAGAGAAAGAATAGTCTGAACTGTACGTCATTACTAGAATCAGAAGAGTGAATTTATTTTTGAATGTGCTGATGAAAAGGAATTCAGCTTTGTTGCATCACCTCCTAAAGAACTAATGCAAGTCATGATTACAACAAGCTTTTATGATCTTTCTGGTGTGTGTGTGTATGTGTGTGTGTGGTTTTCTTTCCCTGCCTTTCTTTTCTTTCTCTCTTTCTTTCCTTCTTTCTTTTTTAGTTTAAAACTCATTCTCTATCCTTGTGCTACTGAGTTCAAACACACTCCACCTAAGAGCTTGTTAATGTTCATTACAGTATCTGTGTTGAAGTTTGGGAGGTCCATAGAACTTAATTAGAAAGAAAGTTGGCTCTAATTTGGTCTTTTAGTACGGTGTCCCCACTTGAAAAAATAAAGACTGGCTGTTTGAAGACCCTTAAAAATTATTCTTTAGTTTCCTCTTGATTTGTGTTTATTGCTCAAAGTTTTCCCAGGGGAGAGCAGGAGGCAACCACAGGACAGTTAAGGCGTTCTGTTCTATTCCTTTTCCATCGAAGGGCTCCAGATAACAGCCCTGGAGAAAGGAACACATTCAGGCCTCACAGCAGGATGTCAGTACTTTATAATAACCTCTCCCACAGCCTGAAGCTCCCAGCACTATTCACTTTGTACTAGTACCCTTGACCCAGCACAAAGGAAGACTTTCAAAGTCCCTGGACCCCACATCCCTGCTGAGAACCCAGGACGCAGGATGCTGCACAGCAGTCTTCAAAAAGCCCCCTAATTTTATTCCCATCTCTGATTTTTGGGCCAGAGTCTTCTGCTTGAACAAGGGGGAGAACAGCTGTGTAAATAACTACAGATGACTACAGTGAGCTGAATGCTTTCCCCAACTACCCGCTATGCTCATGTAGGCGCTCTGCTGATGGTGTAGATGGATAAAGACATGGACCAAATGTGCTGCAATATATGATATTCTTCAGGGAGGAAATTGGTATTAAGCACCCAGAAGAGTGTTCTGGATAAAATAGGGCTTCTGGGCCACCGGGTAACCAGAAACAGTTAACTGAATCGTATTATCGTAGTTAGGAACATTCAAAAAGCCCGTTTTCCTAAAAACTGATCAATCATCCATCCAGCAAACATTTACTGAGTGTCTATTACATACAAAGCACGTTTCTAAGTGTTTAAGGGAACACTTGGCAAACCTCAGGGAAATCTGTCTGTGCCTTTAGGCCTACAGATCAGAGCAAAGGGATAAGTAGTAATTAAAAGTATAATTTCTGAAGTTCTAACTCCATTCCCTGCTAGTTGTGTGTCCTTGGACAAGTTGCACACGCTTTCTGAGCTTCGGTTTCCTCACCTCTAACATTTGTTTACTCATAATACCGTTGTGAAGATTAAATGATGTACTGCTCAGAGTCTGCCACATAACAAACTTCCAATGTAAAGATTAGCTGCCTGATAGGACATAGATTAAGCTGATGCAGGAAACAAGTCCCTCCCCAAATTCAGTAGCATAGCATAGTAGAAGTTTATTTCTCTGTCCAGCGCTGGGAGGTGCAGGGCTGTAAGGGTATCTCTATCACTTTCGACGTGTAGCTTCATCTCCAAGATCAAGATGGTTGCTCTGGCTCCTACCGCGTCCCTGCCAGCAAGAGAAAGAGAAGGTCAGAGGAGAGTATAACCAGGTATTGCTTTTAAAGGTATAACCCAGAAGTGGCACATACTATTTCTTGTTACATTCCATTTGCCAGAACTTAGTCCTGTGATTGTGTCAAGCTGGATTAGAAGGATGGGAAATGTAGTGTCTAGCTGGCCATGGGGTCAGCTAAAACTCATAACTTCTGTTGTGTGAGATGGTGGGCCACAAACCATCCCAGCCACAGCCAGCATTATGACCTACTCATAGGACTCATGATGGTCACTGCTGGAGGAGCCTTGGAAGACCACTGGAGGTAGACTCCTGGACACAGAGGTAGGGAGGGGGAAAAAACATTCCAATGGAGGGATAGAGAGCTCAGAGACATCAAAGAGGGGATTGTTTAGAGTATACTGAGAAGTCTGGATTATCTGGGGTGTAGCATGCAATAACAGAACTGTGTGGGGAAGCAAAGCCAGAGCATAGGTTAGCAGCAGCTCGTGAAGGGCCTCACACATCTGTACTGTATTTTTCAGGCAGTGAAGAGATAGTACAGATTTCCTTAGTAGGGGAGGTGCTTTAAGAACATATGTGACTATGGAGAATAGACAGAAAGTGAATGACCAATTGGAGAAGTCATTTAAATAAACCAGGGATAAGATTTTGAGGGCCTGAACTAGGTGGTAAGTGGTGGTGAGATTGCTAAAATAGAGTCAGATGAGGGGCACCTTTGGAAATAGTATTAACAGGATATGGGAACCAACTGAGTACGGGCACAAAGAAAGGAGGTCAAGAATGACCCCAAATTTTTGTTTTTATCAGGACAGTGATGCCATTAAAAAGGACAGGGAAGGGGTGCCTGGATTGGCGATTGAGTGTCTGACTCTGGATTTCAGCTCAAGTCATGATCTCACAGTTCATAAGTTGGAGCCCCACAAGGGGCTCTATGCTGACTGTGCGGAGCCTGCTTGGGATTCTCTCTCTCCCCCTCTCTCTGTCCCTCTCCTTTTCAAAATAAATAAATAAACATAAAAAAAAAAACGACAGGAAAGTCAGGAAGGGAAGACAGAAAAGCTAGGGTGGGGTAATGTCTTATGAGCCAGTGAAGGAGAGAGTTTCACAGTACCCTTATAATTAAACTTATTTTTGGGGGGGATAATTCCTTAATGTCTGCTCCTCCACTAGACTGTAAACTCATCCGTAGCTGCATAACAAACCATCTCAAATTTTGTGGCATGAAACAAGAAAAAAAAGGTCATTTATTATTATCTTTCATGGGTCTGAGGGTTGACTAGACTTAGCTAGGTGATTATCACTCAGAATCTCTCATTCAGTTAAAAGCCAGACAAGGGGAGGAGCTGGAATCATCTCAAACATTCACATGTTTGGAAGTAGATAGTGGCTATCAGCTGAGACTACAGCTGGGACTATTGGCCTGGGTTTCTTCATAGCATAGTGAATGGGGTCTAAGAACACGTGTCCTAGAGAAAGCCAAGGAGAAGCTGTATTATTATCGCTGAGTCACTCAGGGCATTTCAACTGCATTCAGTTCATTAGAAGTGAGTTACGTAGGCCAATCATATTTCAGGGCTTGATGGGAGGAATGTGCAAACATTTGTGGACATGTTTTAACCTACCACATTCGGTGAGGACAGGCCTTAACTCTGCCATTTTTTAAACCACTATATTACTAATGTTTAGAATGTGGTGTGGTCAATGAAAGTTTGAACAAGTGAATGAAGAGAAAAATCAACATGTTTCAGTGCCACAGATTATTCATGATAAAGATGAGGGAATATTGGCTTTTATTATTTATTATGAGCTGACCACCTGTATGGCCATCATGTTTAGGTGGGGAACTCAATTCTCAGCAGCTGTCATTAATACCACAGGGGAGCGAGAGCATTACAATCCCCTTTAAAAAAGAATAAATGTTTTTTTAACATTTATTCAACATTATAACCCCCTTCTGATAGGGCTGTTGGCTCCTGAGTATGGTACAAGTGGATCTGAAAGTCATTAAAAGATAAACTGAGGCATAATGATCATTTTAAGAATTTACTTGAGCAAAAATCTGCTTGAATGGGCAACTTCCAATCTGGCAGATAGAAAGGAGTTCCAAGGAGCTGTACAAAATGAGAGACTTTAAAAGGCAGAAAAGAGCAGGAACAAAGAAGTTATAGGAAGCACAAAAGCGGGTTATTTATTGCAAAATGACTTTCCGTTAGGGCAGGGCAGGGTTCTGTCGGGCAGGTTACCTAACTGGTGCTGATCCAGTGATTCCTGAGTGACTGAGTTAAGATTCTACTTCTCTGAGAGCACAAACTGTAATTCTCATTTTGGTGACGTGGGGCTAAGTGTAAGCAACTCCAGTCTGGTTTCTAAGTCAGTCCCAGTCTCACCCTAAACCCACTCTGGTTCCTAAATTGGACCCAGCTTGACCCAGACCAGTTTCTAAGTCGGACCCAGTCTGACTCTAGCTAGTTTCCCACCCAGCCCACCTCCAGAGGTAGTGAGGAAGTGGCCAGCCCAAAGGGGCTCCACAGGTACCTAAGTTTGGTTAGGTATCAAATGGTCCACTGCCCCAGGGGACCATTAGGGTCTCCTCAGTTCCCTCTTCTGATACTAAAACTGTTAGAAGGTAAACTGAGGCATATTAAACATTTCAAGAATTTGAGCAAAAATTGATTTAAATTGGGCAGCACCCAATCCAGCAGATAAAAAGGGGCTTCAAGGAGCGGTACAAAATGAACCTTATAGGCAGAAGGGAGCAGTAATAAGGGAGTTATGGGAGGCAAAAAAGCGGGTCGGTTATTGCAAAGTTACTTTCCTTTAGGGAACGGCAGGGTTCTCTGTCAGGCAAATTACCTAACTGGTGCTGATCAGTTGATTTCTGATTGACTTAGACTGCATTTCTGGGAAAGCCTAAACTATAATCAATTCTCACTTTGTTGACATGGGGCTTAGCATAAACTATTCCACTTTAGGCCTATTGTCTTGTTTTTAACAGAGGCAATACCTGAACCAAATGCCTGTCCTGCAAGGGACTATTTTCTGCCTTTACCCAAACATAAAAGGTGAGTGTAGCAGTTCTTTTTCTGATGTATCACAAATTACCACAAACAACACTCATTTATTAGCTCATAGTCTTGTAGGCAAGAAGTCGTGGGTTCTCTACTTTGTGTCTTGTAAGCTCAAATCAAGGTGTTGATCAGGCTTCATTCTCATCTAGAGCTTAGGGTCCTCCTCCAAACTCATGTGGTTGTGGAAAAATCCAGTTGCTTGTGGTTGTAATAATGAGGTCTCTGTTTCCTTGCTGGCTGTCAGCTAAGGGTCACTCTCAGAGATAAGAGACTGCATTGCTGGCCATGTAACCCCCTCCATCTTCAAAGCCAGCGATGGAGAATTTCTCTCTCATTGAATTCCTCTCTTATGCTTCAAATCTCTCTGACATTCTGTCTCTGATCTCTAGATCCAGATTTGAAGAGTTAGTATACTTAGGTCGGGCTCACCTGGGTAATCTCCCTATTTTAAGGTAAATTGATTTGGGGACTTAATTATATTCAAATAACTAGAAGTTCACAGTATTAGTGTCTGAGGTATGTGTACACAGAGGCTAGGAATCTTGGAGGCTATTTTAGAAGTTACTAACACAGTGGGAAATTCCCTAAACATAGGAAGGTATATGAACAGTTCCAGTATTGGAAATTAAAAAAAAAAAATTATACAAATGTCTACCACAGGAAGAAAAAGGACAAATGAAGATGTAGGAGAGCTGAAAGGTAAGCATCTGAGATTGAAGTTGTGAGTTCTACTAAGAAACTACAGCTGGACAAAGGAGTGAGGAGCAGTGTTGAAAGCCTGGCTGAGGTTGTTGGGATGCAGAAAACAGAAATAGAGGCCTTTGATGTTCTTAATTAGTTTCTTAAGCACTCAGCTGCAGCAATGAGTATAAAAAGATGAAGCTGGCGTGCTTGAATGGGGATGTTTGCTTAGCATGAGGGTTGGCGAGGCGAATGGCATGGATCATGGTAAGAGCGTTGTTGCAGAGAAAGAAGCTGCAAGCTGAGGGTTTTGCAGTGGCTAATGTCTAGCCATTGGTATGGTAGCATCTGGATTCTATGTTGTGGCCACAGGGTCCTGCTGAGTGAGGAGGCAAGGAAATAATGCTAGTATTGATAAAGAAGAGAGATTAGAAATAGTGATGAGGACAAAGATTAGGTTTGTTCCGATTTGATATAAGAAAGTGTTAAGAGTAAGAGGGTGAGGTAAGAAGTTGATTTTATGCTACTTCCCATACAATTTAAAACATTTATGGCAATATACTTCCTTCCCCGCACCCCTTTCTTTGGTCTATTATTGTAATAGGTTTTACTTCTCAGTATGGTATAATCCTTCCAGTACTTTTTTTTGTTTGCATGTTTTTTAAAGGTCAATAATCATTTGAACACTTCAACAAATGAAAAATAAGGGTCTTTTATCTTTATCTGTATATTTAATTTATGGCACCAGTCATTGTTTTATGTAGGTTTAAATTTCCATCTGATATTGTCTTTCAGCCTGAAGCACTTTTAAACATATCTTTTGGTAATGAATTCTCTCAGCTTTTGCTGTCGGAAAATATCTTTTTTTCAACTTCATTTTGAAGGATTTTTTTTAAATCTTAAAATTTCTTTTAATGTTTATTTAAAAATTGTTTAAATGTTATTCATTTTTGAGAGAGACACACACAGAGTGCGAGTGGGGGAGGGTCAGAGAGAGAGGGAGACATAGAATCTGAGGTGGGCTCCAGGCTCTGAGCTGTCAGCACAGAGCCGGACATGGGGCTGGAACCCACAAACGGTGAGATCAGACCTAAGCCAAAGTCGACGCCCAACCGACTGAGCCACCCAGGTGCCCCTAATGTCTATTTATTTCTGAGATAGCGAGAGGGAGAGCGTTCACACGTGTAAGCATGAGTCCGGGAGGGGCAGAGAGAGGGAGACACAGAATCCAAAGCAGGCTCCAGGCTCTGAGCGTCAGCACAGAGCCTGACAGCGGGGTTCCCACTTACAAACCTCTGGATCATGACCTGAGCCAAAGTCAGACACTTAACCTACTGAGCCACCCAGGGGCCCCGGAAGGATTTTTTTTAAAAGATAGAGAATTCTAGGCTGGTTCCCCCACTGCACCAGCCACCCT